TCACCATGTAGGTCGGATTTACCCCAGGGATGTAATACACAAACGAATAAATGTGACACCTTACATCAACAAAATGAAGGACAAAAACCATTTGATCATCTCAAGAGATACAGAAAACGTATTTGAGAAAAATCCAACATCCCTAACAAATTCTCAACAAGTTAGGTATAGAAGGAATGTACTTCCACATAATTAGAGCCATGTATGACAAATCCACAGCCAATATCACACTGAATGGAGAAAAGTTTAAAGCTTTTCTTCTAAGATCTGGAACAAGACAATGATCTCACTTTCATCACTTTTATTCAAAATAGTACTGGAAGCCCTAGAGAGAGCACTTAGGCTGGAGAAAGACATAAAGAGCGTCTAAATTGAAAAGGAGGTCAAATTGTCCTCATTTGCAGATAACAAGAGCTTCTATACAGAAAACCATAAAAGCTCCACCAAAAATCTCAGAACTGATAAACAGATTCAGTAAAGTTGGAGGATACAAAATAAAAATACAAAAACCAGTAGCTTTTGTATACACCAAAAACAAACTAGTAGAAAAAAAATCAAGAAACAAATTGCATTTATAATAGCTATATAAAAAGCCAAGTAGGAATATATTTAACCAAGGAGGTGAAAGATCTCTACAATAAAAACTACAAAACGCTGATGAAAAAAGTTGAAGAGGACACACCAAAAAAAAGATCTCATGTTCATGAATTGTAGACATTAATATTGTAAAAGTGACAATACTACTAAAAGTAATCTACCAATTCAATACAATGCTATCAAAATGCCAATGACATTCTTCACATAAACAAAAAAATTTCCTACAATATATATGAAACTGCAAAAGACCCTGAATAGCCAAAGCAATCCTGAGCAAAATGATCAAGCTGGAGAAATCACATTGTTGAACTTCAAAATATATTTCAAAACTATAGTAACCCAGATAGCATGATATTGGCATATAAATAGACACATAGAACAATGGAACAGAATAGAGAACCCAGAAATAAATTCACATATTTACAGCCAAATGATTTTCAACAAAGCTGCCAAGAATATTTAATGGGGAAGGAACAATCTCTTTGAAAAATGATGCTGGAAAAACTGAATATTCATATGCAGAAAAATGAAACTGGATTTCTACCTCATATAACATGTAAAAATCAACTCAAAATGGATTAAAAACTTAAATATAAGACCTGAATCTATGAAGCAACTAGAAGCAAACATAGGGGAAATACTTCAGGACATTGGTGTGAGCAAAGATTTCATGGATAAGATCTCAACAGCACAAACAACCAAAGCAAAAATAAACAAATGAAATTATGTCAAACTGAAAAGCTTCTGCACAGCAAAGGAAACAGTTAACAGAGTGAAAAGACAACCTGCAGGATAGGAGAAGGTATTTGCAAACTATTCATCTGCCAAGAGTTTAGTATTCATAATATAAAATGAACTCAATAGCAAAAAAAAAAAAAAAAATCACATTAAAAAGTAGGCAAAGAAGCTGAATAGACATGTCTCTAAAGAAGACATACAAATGGTCAACAGGTATGTACAAAAAATGGTCAATGTCATTAATCATCAGGGTAATGCAAATAAAAACCACAAGAAGATATTATCTCACCCCGGTTAGAATGGCTATCACCAAAGAGACAAAAAAAAAAAAAAAAAAAAAAAAAAAAAAAAAAAAAAAAAAAAGGACTAACAAGGATGTGGTGAAAAGCAAACTCTTATATGCTATTTGGAATATACATATATATGTGTACGTGTATATATATATATCCATTATGGAAAACAGTATGGAGGTTCCTCAAAAAATTAAAATAGAACTACCATATGATCCAACAATCCCATTACTGGGTAACTGGGTATATATCCAAAGGAAAGGAAATCAGTATGTTAAAGAGATATCCATACTTCCATGTTTATTGCAGTACTACTCACAAGACATAGCCAAGATACGAAATTACCTAAGTTTCCATCAGTGGGTGAATGGATGGAAAATTGCTATATATCCCAATGGAATATTATTTGGTTGTAAAAAAGAACAAATTTCTGCCATTCACGGCAACATGAATGAGCTTGGAGGACATTATTTTAAGTGAAATAAGCTAGAAACAGAAAGATAAATACTGCATGTCCTCATGAATATGCAGAAGCTAAGAAAAGTCAATCTCATAGAAGGAAAGAGCAGAATAGTTCTTACTGGAAGCAAAAAAGGGTAGGGGGAAGAAAGAGATAGCCAAAGGTAGGCTAAGAAATACAAAATACAGCTAGATAGGAGGAATAAGTTCGAGTGTTCTATAGCACTATAGGGTAACTATAATTAGCAATTTATTGTATATTTTCAAATAGCTATAAGAGTGGATTTTAAATATTTCCAACACAAAGAAATGAAAAATAAAGTCATAAATTTGCTAATTACCCTGATGTGATAATTTGTTGTATACATGTATACAAACATCACATTGTACCCCATAGATATGTACAGTTATATGTCTATAGTAATAATAAAAGCAAAAAAGAAAAAAGAAGAAAATTCTTAGAAGTCATGTGACTTATGACATGTTACTTAAATTGTTTTATGAACAATTTTAAGAGATAACTAAACAGAATCAAACTGGAAAACAAGCCCCAGAAGCATATTTCTCCACTCCACTTCCACACCACCATCTTTAGAGGATTACAATTGCAATGAAATTGTAAAAATACAAAAAGGTATATTTTTAAATGTGAAGAGACAACCTGAATTTATCAAAATAATCTACTCAGGATCCATTTGGTGAATACTCCTTTGACAAAATGAATATGCAAAGGAATAGCTCAAAGCTTTGCTAAAAATCAAGTGAGATAAGTTTAAGGTCCATTGGTGCTGGAAATGCAACCGAAGAATTTGAGAAGAAAAAAAATAAAAATGACTACTGTTATTATTATTCTAATATAAAATTCTGTAATACAGCTGTTTTAATTATATCTTTAAGGTAGGGAGGCAAACTCACCTGCCCTCATTCATAGAAAACTCAGTATGAATGACACTTCAAAACCTTGACTGTCTTCTCCACATCACACTATTGCTTTCAAACAGACTCTCTATCTTTATTTATTTAATGAATGTAAACCTTGCTGTTGACATACCCTAGTATGTTCTAATCAGGGTAATTAGCCCGTGTGAAAGTTTAAACATATAGTAAAGATAAGGTAAATCCAAACCCATAAGAATGCTTTACTAGTTCATATAAAATACTAGGGTATGTCATCAATAAGCTTATTATTTATTTTTATTTTAAATAGAGTCTCCCTATGTTGCCCCAACTGGTCTTGAACCCCTGGGCTCTAGTGATCTCCACGACTTTAGCCTCCCAAAGCTAGGATTACAGAAGTGAGCCACCATGCCTGGCCTCAAGCTGATTATTTTGCAGGGATTTGAGGCATGTTGGGCAAAAAGGAGTCTTCCTTCTCCTCCTCTTCCTCTACCTCTTTCTTCTCTTCCTCTTCTTCAATGAGCTTTCAAGGGTACCAAAAAGCAACCAAGAAAAATGATGGTAATTGGATAGGAAAAAGATAATTACAAGAACAGGGAAATGCAAGCTGGTTTAACTAATATCTGATTCAGAGCTTCCCATGCGGACCCAAGTATTCAGCTTTCATTTCTAAAGAGATCATATCCCCTCAATTGGAAACATAAAAATAAAAACAAATTAAAGTGTCTCTAAATATTCTAAACTCTTATTTGTAATATTTTAGTAGAAAAGTACCCAGTCTTGTGTAATAAATACAAATTAATTCAGCTTTACTCAAAATGTTGGCAAGTGTAATGAAAATAAGAGGTAAATTTGTCAGTGAGGTGGTGTTATATTAAAACACAAATCCGCTACTCTTGCTTAGGTAGAACAGTCCCAGATTTGGCAACTAATGATAATGTGAGAATAAATAGAACAAGTGTAGAAAACAGACACCAGAGTTTACCTTCCCCTTAAAGCAATTTGGATTACGGCTTTAAGCATATATCATAACACATATGTTAAGAAATATCTTGTATGATACATATGTTTGCAATACTTATGTTAAATTTTAATCCATATGCTTTGCTAATAAAAATGCTAGAATTTACACATGATGGTATTATGGATATGAAATGAGGGCTAAAAGGGTTCAAGGATTTCCTTATATTTTATGTATAAGAGCTATGCATTTTGTTAATAATTCTTTTTAATTTCCAATTTTCTGAAGTCTGAAATGACAGCCGAGGAGCTACATTTGGTTTTCAAATGAATGATAGGTACCAAAGAGGATATGACTAAAATAGTGAGAGAGAAAGCATTAACACATATGGCGTGTATGTTTTTTGCCTGAATAACACTACCTCTGTTTCAAGAAGTAGCACTTTAAATTGATAGAGTCTATTATATATTTCTGTGGGCTGGAAACACAGATATTTTAATTTAACCTTAGGAAACCTAAGATTATGAATTTTTGTATGCCCACTTCTGGAAAGTAGGCAGATTTTTCTTGAAAATAGCAGGAATCTCATTAACTCCTTTTACTTAAAACCTGTAAGTGACTTCAAAATGTGCTCTTGAAATATAAATCTAGTCATAAAATATGCTAAGTGATAATGTTATTCATTCAAATAAATGAAGGCAAATAAAATCTCAAGAGCCCCCCTCTTCTTCCTCTTTTTACAACAATAAAGCTGTACCCTGCATTAAAACCATTAGAAAAACTCAAGAGACAATTCCAAGGAGTTATCTGGCACTATGTAACCTCCACACGCAAGTTATGAGAATGAGAAATCTGAATAGCTCAGCATATAAAATTTGATAATCTTTAGCTAAAATGGCCAAGAAACTTCAAAAGGCATACACTTTTGCCAAGCAAAATTTTTCTCTTAAGGAGTTACTGGAAAGTTTATAAAAATTTCTCATCCTTAAAAAAAAAAATTAGAGAAGTCGAAATACCACAAAACAAAACAAAGGAAACATTTGGTGGAAAGAACTCACTTTGTCTTAAAGCCGCTTCTTCCTGTGATTTAAACAATACAAAAGGAGAATATACGTTGATTATTTTTCCTCCAGTCCATATGCGTGTTAACTCCCAAAGGAACAGAAAGTCACCAGCACCATCTGAAGATCCTTTCCAACTGCATGTAGCTTTTTCAACTTTGCAGGAGAAAACAGAAGGGTCCCTGCATTTTCTCCAAGTCTTACACCATGCACATTACTCCTACTGGGCTGAAAAAGCACTACTTGTCAATTTTTACTTAAAACTATGAGTAACAAATTCTCTGCAGGACATCCTTAAAGGGAAATTCTGCCAGGATTAGCATTTGAAGTATCTGGCTAAGCTCCAAAAAGTTTAAAATACAGAACGTTCACACAGATACATACACACTTGAGAAATTTCCACTAACTAGGCTAAATTAAGGGCATATTTATAAAAATAATGCTCTAAAAGGATGATGTATTTTTTGTTTCCTCAATCTGTTTTTGGCTTTGTTTTCTTTGTTTTCTGGTGGTGATCAGAACCCTTCTTTTAGGTTGGAAATGTCTGAACTGCTGAGCTTTTCTTTTGGACTGTCTGGAAAGAGATGAGGCCCCATGCTCTTACCTGCAAAGCTATTGGTACCTTGAGAGATGACCCCCTGGGTTGTGGCCTCTATCACTGCCTTCTTGGGAAATTGGGGAACTCTGAGACATAAGTTTGAGTAGAGTACTCAAGGTAGTTCCCTGCTCTCTGGACTTGCAGTGTAGACCCAGCCTTTCCTGCTCTGCCTGCTTCCTGGTGAGCTGGCCACAATTGTGACATCACATCCATGGCTGTATGACTTCATAAAGCATAAACTCATTGGGTTTTTTGAAATCTTTGAAACACAAAAAGTAGACAGCGATGTCAAGAGTTGGATCTGAAGAAATTTTTGGATATTAAACCAATCCACAATAGGTATTCTCAGAGGGGCACACTGATTCATAAAGCAAGTGACATTTTCTCTTAGAATCTCCATTTGAGGCCATTTCTTCAGTTTGGAAGGCAGGATGAGAGAAGAAATTCTGCCTTAATTCCAGACCAAACTTAAACTGTCCTTGTTCTAAGTGCTAAAGGAGTGAAATGTTAATATCTTCTAAGGTCAAACTTGGGTATATACAGTCAAAGAACTTGAGCTAGGGAAACGCAGAGCCAGTTAACTGTATGTTTTGTTATTCACTTGACTTTACTGATTAAGACATTATGAAAATGAACATATGGTGATTAACAACAATAAATTTGGATTCAGCAAAAGGATACAAGTATATTTCATTAGTAATAGATTTTAATCCTTAGGACACCATTGCTAAGCAGGTACTAGCTGTATTTTCCTTGTTTTATGGGCAAAGAAAGCAGTCTTTGAGATGTAAAAGTGCCTGGGACCATCACCCTCTTTATTTGTTCCCATGCTTCCTGAGAGGGTAATCTACATTCACCAAGTCATTCCAAATCTACAACATTCTGAGTTTCCTTCTCCCTCCCAACTTATTACAATCTGTCTTTCACTTGAACCACTCCAAAAAAGCTTCATTAAGATCATATACAACCTTGATTAGCAACCCAAAGAGCATGGTCTTCAGTCTTACCGAAAAATTCTCATCTCTGGCCATGTCTATTTCTTTTTGAAATTATCTTTCCTTGGTTTTGCCTTGTTACACTCTTCTGATTTTCTGTTTGCTCTTAGCATCTTCAGCCTTCTCTCTATTCACCTCAGTCTTCCCTAGAGCTTTATCCTCTGTTCATTATGCTTCTCTGAAGGTTCTCCATCATGTTCTTCATCGAAACAGTGAACAATTATACAACATGATTCCCAAATGTGTACTTTCATCTGATACCACTCTTCAAGGTTCCAGACCTGTATTCCACTATCTATTAGACAACCGTGTCTAGAAGTCCCCAGACATCTCAAACTCAACAGTCCCAAATAATCCTCTTTGTCTTCTCCCCATTGCAAACTTGTTAGTTTGCTGTATATCCTACTTCAGGGAATGGCACAATCATCCACCCCTTATGTTAGAGTATTCCCTTTCCTCATCTATTCTCCACCATCCCCATCATTGTCCACCTTCTGTAGGTTCTAGTTTGTTAAATGATCTTTCTCAAATTTATCCTCATCCCTGCATTCCATGTCTCACATTTCTCATTCAGATTATTCTATCAGCCATAAAATAACTGGCATCTGACTCAGCCTGGTCCCTTTCTATCCTTCTCTATAGAACAATATTATTTTTTTAAAAGTTTGTCAAATTATAAAATACATGCTTCTTGCAGATAATCTGGAACAGAAACTGAAAAACATATACCGAAAATGTAAAATGTAAAATGACTTGCAATCCAAGACAGCCCAGATGAAATCTTTGTGTACCTCTTTATACTTTATATTATTCATATATTAACGATGAAGAGAAATACTTACATTTTTTGTAAATATATTTACAAAATGTATTTTGTAAATTTATTTACATTAGATATTTCTCCTAATACTATCCCTCCCCCAGACCCCCATTCTGCAACAGGCCCCGGTGTGTGATGTTCCCCTCCCTGTGTCCATGTGTTTTCATTGTTCGACTCCCCTTTATCAGTGAGAACATGTGATGTTTTCTCTTCTTGTGTTACTTTGCTGAGAATGATGGTTTCCAGCTTCATCCATGTTCCTGCAAAGGACACAAACTTATCCTTTTTTATGACTGCATAGTATTCCATGGTGTAGATGTGCCACATTTTCTTTATCCAGTTTATCACTGATGGGCAAGTCAATAAAATATTTTTTAAAGTGGCTATAAAAAATAGTTGTGATATAATAAAATATATAAAGGAATAGCTCTCTCTTTCCTTTCTCTCTTTTTTCAACACTAAAAGATACACTCAGCATTTATAACATACGAATCACAGGACTGAGATTAAGATTGAAAAGAGGAAAGGAGAAAAATCTAGAACATTGACTTTAAGTACATTTACATTTATTAGGTTGTATTTAAATGACTATATTTTCTACGTGTCATATCTTCAAGTTCTTACCCAACTCTGAAGTCTGTATAATAGAATTAGGTTAAAGACTGCATTTTAGATGAGTAAAGACAGGCTCAGTAGTAAAACAGTTTGACAAAGCACTTTTACTTCTTTACACTGAATGACACAAAACATGAGACAACCTTTGAGACTTTTGTCTTTGGTGGACTAATCAGATAAAAGTTTTCTTTGGCAGACTAGTATCTGAATAGACTATTTCAGAGCCAAGATTGACCCGTTTCTGTGCAAGACATGGTGTCCATGTTCCTCTCTACTAGAGGCTGGGAAAAAAAGGCATATACAGTTTTTAGTCATTTTACTTCTCAGAAAAGGAAGACATTAATTTCATGAATAATATGTACGTTTTAAAGAATTTTGGTAAATTGCCAAATTGCTTTCCAGAATGTAATTTTTTTAGAAGACAAATCTAATAATTTAATTTCCCTGGTTAGCTGAACCTTTTAAAGGCTTCTGTGTTTTTGAGATAGTGGTTAAACTTTGTAGCTTAGTGTTTAAGGCATTTCACAACCCCCCATTCTCTCTACTTTATCTTACACTACTTCCCCAGATCAGTTATCATATTTCTCAGACTTCTGGGCTCCCCACATCTCATTCTTTCATTCTAATTAGCGTCATAGTGCTTCTGTTCCTCCTTTTCTCTGTCCCAATGTGCTCTTCTCCCTTCTCTCATTTTCACCAAGGCTAATCCTTCTTTTTTTCTCTCTGGACTCTTGGTTCAGGTGTCATTTCTAGCCTCCCCATTATGCAACACAGTCTCAATTTCATTTCTTGTCACAACACCCTCTGTGTACTTCTACCAAGACACTATATTTAACTGTAATTGTTCACTCTTGTTATCTCCTTGAAAGTAAAGCATACTTTTAAAGTTTATATGTGTCTTCCTAGTATTTACCTGTCATACAAGATCTAGTAAATTAGGCCAAGTCCATAAATTCACCATGTCCTCCCTTTCTTCTATCTCACCATCAGTGTAATCCTGTTTTTCTTGCTCCTTAAAACAAACACCCACGTTGTCTTACTAGTAATCACTTAAGAGAAATAAAGATGCAACTAGGGGCAAGTTTGATAAAACAAATAATACAACACTGGGAACTTACAAACATTGAATACATGTTTACAGTGGTTATTCCTTCTTTTTTATGATGTAAGTGGAATACAAATTGTTTTTCTTAAAGCCTGAAAGTCAGAGTTTCATTCTTAGATGGTTTGAAAGAAGTCTCTCCTGGCTGTATTTATTCTGTTGTATGCTTAGTAGGGTCCTCAAGATAGAGCAACTTGTGTGAATTTGTAGGTCATCTAAATAGCCACTTGAACAGTGCTCCCAGATTTGTGTGGAAAATGTACATCCCAGGGGAGTGTTTTTGTGTGCTTTTATTGCATCTCCCATGTATTGGGGGAAATTCTTCATTCGTCTTAGTGAAAGAAAGTAAATCTTCCATCCTCATACTCCCTCCCAACTCACATCAGTTAGTTCTTGATAGAAAAAAATTCCATTTGGTTCTGTGAAGTGGTTTGGCTGTGCCTCCACCCAAATCTCATCTTGAATTGTAACTCCCACATTTCCCATGTGTCATGGGAGGAATCTGGTGGGAGGTGATTGAAATATGGGAGCAGGTCTTTTCTGTGCTGTTCCTGAGATAGTGAATGAGTCTCACTGTTATGCCCAGACCGTTTATTCCCTGAAGAAGACCACCAGAGTCCAGAGTCAAAGCTAAGCAGCAAGGATCTTTATTACAGGTTCGAACTTGGAACTCTCCCTCGCTCGCGAAACGAGACGGGCAGGAGAGCTCCCCCACTGAGCTCCGAGCAGTGTTATATAGTCTAAGAAAAGTGGGCATAGAATTATTATACAAATCAGATATATGATTGGCTAGTGTTTGAACAAGGCGATTTGGCTAACTATGATTGGTTCCCGCCATTTCTGATATTTTGGTTCAACCTTTGAGGCGGGAGAGCAGGTTTATGGCAGCAAGAGTTTATCTTACTTAAACACATCTTGTGACCTTGCCTCAGAACTTACAAAATTTCTGGTACGTGCAGAAAAACAGGTACTCACAGAACTTACGAAATCTCTGGTATGTGGAAAACAGTAAACAAGCAGAACTTACGACCCTTGGTATGTGCAAACCAAAATCTCTGGTATGTGCAAAAACAAAATCTCTGGTACATGCAGAAAAACAGGTACTCACAGAACTTACGAAATCTCTGGTATGTGCAAAGATTAGAGAGCAGAACAAAGGGTGTAGCGGGGGGGCGGGTACACATCTATCTTTGTGTCGTTTCATCATGAGATCTAATAGTTTTAAAAAGGGGTTTCCCTGCACAAATTCTCTTGTCTGCCGCCATGTGAGATGTGCCTTTCACCTTCTG